TGAGTTAAATCTACAAAAAAGAAAAGAAGTTCTTGAGTTAGAAGCTAACAAGGAAGAGAATCGGTGTGATGTGGTGCTGTTTTTCATGCAAAGGATGTTAGAGAACAGTCGATAGGCAATACCAGTATTTTTGGAGCAGGGTCTTGCTACCTATGTGTGAAATAGATGAACCACATTTCTCATCAGCCCCCATCACTGGCTGGGTCCTAGGCTTGCTCAACAAAGGATTCTAACTCATTCTGGAGTATTTGCAGTGGATTTTACCTCCCCATACATGATCCTTCAGTCTGTACTGTACCCTCTGGACTAGTTATTCACTGAAGCTGATCTCATCGGCAGATGAGAAAGATAAAAGTATCATACCCCTGGTCTATCAGTGCAGTTTCTACAACCAAGAGATAATCTCTTTGGGGGAGATGTTAAGACAAAATTCTAATGTGATCATCTGAGTAAGTGATGAATATAAAAAAAAGATAAACAGGAGGAGATAACCTAGTTGAAGGCAACAGGACTAATACTAGAGAAACAAAGTTATTGGAAAGATCCATGCAGACATTAGTAGATAGAACCTAGAGGAATTCCTGAAATTAATGATAAACTACCTCAGTGACATTTTCAGGTTCGTGGTGGCTTCAAGTTTGGGTTCTATTGATATAATGGGTACCCCCAACTAACTTGAATTCTACCCCTTCAGATTCATGAATATCCTCCAGACGTAGCCAAGCATCATTTCCCAACATTGCATGAATATGAGAATCAACTATGGTCCTTTTTTTTTTCTTCCAAGATTTTATTTAAATTCAAATAACTTAACGTATAGTGTAATATTGGTTTTAAGAGTAGAATTTCATGATTCATCACTTACATATATCACATGTGCCCTCCTTAATGTCTTTCACCTGTTTAGCCCATCCCTGCACCCACCTCACATCTAGAAACTCTGTGTGTTCTCTGTAGTGAAGAATCTGTTATGGTTTGTCTCTCTGTTTTTCTCTTATTTTATCCTCCCTTCCCTTCTTCTATGTTCATTTGTTTTGTTTCTTAAATTCCACATATGAGTGAAATCATATGGTATTTCTGTTTCTCTGACTTATTTCCCTTAGCATAATACACTCTAGCTCCATTACCATTGCAAATGGCAAGAATTTCACTCTTTTTGATGGCCAAGTAATATTCCTTTATGCACACACATACCACATCTTCTTTATCCATTCATCAGTTGATGGACATTTGGACTCTTCCCATAATTTGGCTATTATTGATAATGCTGCTGTAAACATTAGGTGCATTGACTGAATATTTTTGTAACATTTGAATGAGTTGTGCAATTGCTGGGTCATGGGTAGCTTTATCTTCAACCTTCTGAGGAACCGCCACACTGTTCTCCAGAATGGTTGCACCAGTTAGCATTCCTATTCCAATAACAAGCTGAACAGGATTCAAAGTTTCCTAGCTCACTGATATTGTTATTTAGAATAAAATCCCTTTTAGATCAGGGATCGTAGTTTTTCTTTTATTTTGTTTTGTTCTTTTTTACACCATTATACCCCTCATGCTTAGCAAATAGAGACAGTTAATAAATATTTGATGAATGGATAAATGAAAGGATGCATGAAGGAATGAGCTAATTAAATGAAATGTATCATTGCAAAAGTGCTTATGATATAATAGAGAACAAGATTATATACAAATAGGGGCAGAGAAAAATAAATTACACGAGGAGTTTAGGGAATGCTCATGGGGAAAGAACACATTATGCCCAAGATGAGATCATGTAATAAGTAGGAAATAGAAGGTCAAAAGGCCTGAAGACATGAGAAAAAGTAGTTTATCTTGGGAACTTCAAGTTCAATGTGGCTAAAGTTTTGATGGAGAAAGTGAGGATGAAGAATGAGGAAGGAGATAGGCTGTACAGAGCTCTCTAGACCATGTGTCCTAGTTTCCCACTACAGCTGTGACAAATTACCACAAATTAGTGGCTTAAAGTGATACAAACATATTATGTTACAGTTCTAAAGGTCAGAAGTCTCAAGTGGGTCTCAGTGGACCAAAATCAGAGTGCTAGCAGGGTTATGTTCCTCTCTGGAGGCCCTAGGGAAGAGCCTTGGTTTTTCCAGCTTCTGGAAGATGCCTACATTCCTTGGTTCATGGTCTCCTTCCTTCCTTACAGCCAGCAATAGCCAGTGGAGTCCCTTTTCATGTTTTGAATTTCTCCTACTTCTTCTTCTGTCTTCATACCTCCCTGGTATGCTCTTCTGCTTTTTAGGAACCCACATGTTTAGAATGAGTTCACCCAGATGATACAGAATAATCTTCTCTTAGTCACACCTGCAAAGTCCCGTCTGCCATGTGAGGTGAACATTCATAGATTCTAGGGATCAGGATGTGGACATCTTTGGGCATCACTATTCGGCCTGCCACACCATGTTAGAAAATTTGGGCTTTATCATAAAAGTGATAGGAAGCGTAAATAAACATTTTCAGAAGGGGAATGATACGATCAAATCCTGCATTTTTAAAAGATCCTTGTGTATGATTTATGGAAACTGGATTAGGGAAAAAAGTATTGTCATCTGGGAGAGATGTAATGTTAGTGTAGAACAGAAAAGTGTCTGGCAGAGATGAAGGGCAAATGGACTTGAGAGTTATTTATGAGACTAAATAACAGGTTTTAGTTGTTGATTAGATACGGAAGATGAGTGGGAGGGTTGCAGGCTAAGACAGACAATATCCAAGTCTCTGGCCAGGGCGACTGCATAAATGGAAGTGCCATTTACCAGGACAATACAGGGCAAGCAGCAGCTTTGAAAGGAGGGGAAAATAATGTATTTGTTTGGAGAATATGGTGAGTTCAATGGGGCATAATGAAATCCAAGTGCAGACATCCAATTGGGAGTTATATCCAAGAGCTTAAAATTCAAGAGAGGTGTCTGGACTGCAGACTTATCTCTCAATGTCATTAGTATGTGCATGGAAACCAAAGCCCTGAGAAAGTGTAGACATTTTTTAAAAGACAGGTTCAAGACAGGGCCTTGAGGAAAAACAGCCTTTCAGAGACTGTCTAAGGAGGAGGAGCCTACATGGTCTAGGAGAACTGGGCAGTATAGAAAGAAGAAATGAAAGGAGTTCAGTATCATTCAGTCCGAGGGAAGAGGCTGTTTTTAAACAGCCAGAATGGCCAACTGCATTGACAGCTGTGAGGAAGTCAATAAGACAGGCACTGAAAGGACCAAGTGTGCCACATAGCTGTCTGTCATCATTGACTCTGGCAAGAGCAATGTCCTTGGGGCAGGAGGGCTGAACGGTGATTGGGAGGTTAGGAGCCGGAGATAGGGTGCAAACTACTCTTTGAAGATAGATAAAAGGAGGAGAGAATTTCAGAGGTAGCTAATGGGACACATAGTGGTGAAAGAGAGGAAACTTTTTTTTTTTTTAATGAAAGAGAAACATAAATATGTTTATAACAATTCCTTTAAGAAGCGACATTGTGGAGGGGCACCTGGGTGACTCAGTCGGTTAAGCGTCCGACTTCGGCTCAGGTCACGATCTCACAGTTCGTGAGTTCAAGCCCCGCATCAGGCTCTGTGCTGACAGCTCGGAGCCTGGAGCCTGCTTCGGATTCTGTGTCTCCCTCTCTCTCTGCCCCTCCCCCCGCTCATGCTCTGTCTCTCAAAAATAAACAGTAAAAAAAATTTTTTTTTAAAATAAGAAGTGACATTGTGAAGGACAGGAGGGAAATGGGGGTGCCTGGAAGGGACTCAGAAAGAGTGTTTTATTTGCTTATTCATTTGCTTGTTTCTGCTTAATGGCAAAGACTTGAACACAAT